ACTCCTTTTTCCCTCTTCCTTCCTGGGAGTCACACAGACTGTCCAGCCTCGCTCCTCCCTCTGCCTCTTGGGACGCAAACAGTGGTAAAAGGATTGGAAGCCAGAGTCTGGGACCCTTCTCCTGTTCCCATCTGGCCAGCAGATGGCAATACCTATGCCCTGTGGCTCCTGCCCAACCCTTTTCCGTCCTGATGGAGGGGAAGGTGACAAGAATAGGCTCAAAGGATGACTCAGCTCCAGTGACTAAGGTGAGGAGGAGGTGGTGGTGGGAAGGGCATGGGGGCTGGAGAGGAAATGAGTGAACACTATGTCTGACGAAGGATGGCTCCCAGATAAAGGGATTTGGCCCTGGTGGGTTCCTGGCTCTGACATGGTGCACATGAGCAGGAGCCTGAGTGCTTTCTCTTGACTCCTTCTACCTCCCCTCATGGTGAACTCACTGCTGGCCCAGGGGCACCTTCCAGAGCAAACACCAGGCATCTTTCTGCCCTCTGGAGCCTTTCAGCCCAGGCACTGAGACACATCTGAATACCACCTTTGATGAACTGGTTTTTAAAAAGCATTCCTTATCATCAAAATCACTGCGCATGGGTTCTAATCCTGACAGCCACCTGATTTCCAACCTCAGCTTCTCTCCTGGACTGCTGACTGTCTTCTCCACTCACACCACCACCTTGACTTCCCCAAACATTGCACATTCAACAAGTTTAAAACTGAACACTCAATGCCCTCCCGACACCTGCCTCCCTCAGCCCCTCTCCTGGTTGGCTGTCCCAGCATCTCCCCAATCACTCAACCTAGGCCCTGAGATATCCCGGGCCCCTCCTCCACCCATATTCCCCGTCCCTCCAACATCCATGTCAACTCAAGTTCCTGAATTTCTCACATCCATTTCCTCCTTCCCTTCCCCACTGCAGCTGACTCTGACCAGACCTTCATCATTATTCACTATGATTCTTTCTGGCATCTTCTAACTGGTCTCCCTGCCTCCACTCTCTCTCCAGTCCATTTTCCAGACTGTCCTCAGAATGATATGTTCAAATCTCATTTCTAAACTTGTTATCACCCTGTTTGGCATCCTTCAATGCTTTCCCAGTTCCTACAGGAAATAGTCCAGACTCCTTAGTCTGGCATATGAAGCCCTTCACGATCCAGAGCCTGCCCACCTTCTGGTTTTGCCTGCTAACCCCACCCCACAAACTCATACATAAAGAGACACACCCTAGATTCCAGGCAGCCCACAGAGTGCTGGTATCACACTGCTCTCTTCCCACCTCTGGGTCTTTGAACATGTCGTTCCTTCTCACAGGGAAGCACTTCCCTGTCTTTGCCAAAATTGTTCGTCTTTCCAGATTTGGTTCAAGTGTCATATCTACTGTGTGGCCCTCCCAGGCACCCAGAAATGAGTCGGCAGCTCCTTCTCTGAACTCTCTCTAAACACGGTCACTATTATGAAGCACCAGTTGGCACTGTGACTTCTTGTTTATCCATGCCTGTCTCCACTAAACTGGGAGATCTTCAAAGGCAAGTCCTTCCAGAGAATGCCTACTCAACAAATGTTTTTTGAATAAATTATCAAAGGCAGGCATGAGGTAATGAAGAAAGACACTTTTGTCCTCTAATCCTCAGTGTTTCCAACCATAAAATAGGTATCTGATCCACATACCTTACAACTTGACCTGCCTCAGATTCTATACTGCATTATCATTCAAATATATAGCTCACACTTCTGGCCCACTCATTAGTAGGAGATATTGCTGAGTTATTTTTCCCAAGGAAGGAGTGGGACTGTGGATCTACCCACACTGCAAAATGGCTGGTCTCAGAAGCTCCAATTGAAGTCACAGAACTGCTCAAAGCCAGTGCTCTACATAGGGACCCAGAAAACCAGGACCCACACCACCACAGACTGGGACTTGGGCGATGTCCCCAGCATAGTCATGGGTATTGTCCACCCACATGGGTGCTCGTTTGTGGGCACTCACACAGTTATTGTCACAGTGCTCAGGCAGGCACAGAGGGTGACACATCTGTGCAAAGGAAGCCACCCACACAGTCTCACCTCCCACGGGTCACTGTCTTCGTGATCCCCGCACCTCCCAGCACCACCCACACACTCACACACCCACAGAGTGTCAGACTGTCTGTCTGCAAACCTGGTGTTTTACCCATCAGACCTCAGCATCTTTCAGCAGGTAGACAGGTGCACCTGCATTCTGATGACTCTCGTCCTCTGACTTCCCATCAGCCTGCCCCTCGGTAAACAGCTTCTGCCAGTATGCTGGCAGACACAGACCTGAGTTCACCTTGCAGCTTTCTCTGGGAAAATTATTTGATCCCCTTGAGCCTCAGTTTTCTCATCTATAAAATGGGACTAGTGGCCCTGCTTACCTTCCTTGCATAGGTATTACCAAGACGCAATGAACTAAAACATGTGAATGTACCTCGTTAACACAGCACAATGCAAACGTGCAGGATTCATAGAAGTAATAATATTGGCAGACACCAGGTTCTGTCTCTGAGCAAAACCACCTTTTCAAATACAAGGGGACAATTCAAATCCAAATATTGTTTGAGTACTTACTATGTGCCAGACACAGTGTAAGAGATTGTCACCAACCTTAACTGTAATTGTTCCGTGGCTGAATTCAATAGTGCTCTCACTTAATATTTATAAGTCTAAAGTCAAATGTTTCATGTTTCGAGGTTTTAATTTATATGCATGTCCATGCATTTTACATATATAGGAATAGAAACAATATTTGCATATGTACAGATGTGTGTGTGTTTGAGAGAAAAGAATACTTGTCCAGGAGTCAGGAATGAAGTGTAACGAAAAAAAACATGAGTTTGGGAGTAAGACACACATACCTAGGTTCGAATCCTGACCGCGACTGACTAGATTTTTGACAAATTTTGAAGCCTCAGTTTCCCCATATTAAAAATGGAAGTAATGGGGCTGGCCCCATGGCTGAGTGGTTAAGTTCACACGCTCCGCTTCGGCAGCCCCGGGTTTCATCGGTTCAGATCCTGGGTGGGGACACGGCACTGCTCATCAGGCCATGCTGAGGTGGCGTCCCACATAACACAACCAGAGGGACCTACAACTAGAATACACAACTATGTACTGGGGGGCTTTGGGGAGAAGAAGATGGAAAAAAAAAAAGAAGATTGGCAACAGATATTAGCCCAGGTGCCAATCTTAAAAATAAATGGAAATAATGAAAACTCTCTCACCAATCTGTTGTGCAAATTAAATAAAATCATGCACACCAAATATTGAAAGCTGACTAGCACAGAGAAGACTCAATAAACGTCACTGCCCCCATTCTTAATTCTGCCCCTGTGTCCTAATCGGTTCCACTCACTCACGTGCTGTGTGACCTGGGGCAAGTCACTCAGGCCCTGGCACATTCTCATCTACAGAATGAGAGGGTTGGAGCTGATGATTCCGAGGATTCCTTCCAGCCTCAGGATGCCAGGGTCGTATATCGAATATCTATTTTATGCATGTATGTGGATTTAAATAATGAGCTTCACCAAAGGAAAGCCCCATCAGCCTGGTGTTTGCTCCATTTCCAAAGCATTTCCTTTCTCCGAACGTGCCATTTGCTGGCTCTCATATTTTCAATACAGGGCCCATTGATGGCTATGAAAAGGAATGTCCAGTGCAGCTGCGGGTCCACTTGAGCCCCCCAAGCAAGCGCTCTCAAGCCCGCTGTCTTTGAGCCCAGTGTTTTCAGAGCCTGTTGCTGCAGCGATGTCTGGAATCCTCAACACCTGCACGTCAGCTTCCTGGGCATTTCCACTCCCCTCCCTCGGCCCCCACCCTCCTCTTCTATTTGCATCTGAAATGCAGCTGCTGGGGCCCTATAGAGGGGAGCCAAATGGACAGGAATCTCCTTGTTTGCTCTCCCTCCCCTGAGTCAAACAGAATCTGAAGCTCCTCTGTGCGAGGTCTTTTGTTGCCTCCTCATTATGTTTAAATGAGCCTCATCTGCAGGAGAATTTTTTTTTTAATAAAATAAAATAAAACCACCACAAAAGACCAAAGCTGATGACATCTGTTCTTTCAATGAAAGCTTTTTTGTCCTGAATTAGATTTAAAAAAGAAGAAAAGAAAAAAAGAACAAGGCTAGGCCTCATTTGTACCATTCCTCCCCCAAAACAAAACAAACACAATTAGTGTATGCTGGGGGTCAAGGGATGTGGAATGGATAAGAAGAAGAAGAGAAGACGGGAAAAGAAAAAATGAAAGGAGCCCTTCCCCCTTCTCCAGCAGTTTTGCCATCACTCCACACCAGGAATATTCATTCATCATTATTTTAAGTGCCACTTATTTTGAAAGAATATTCAAATTTATATTCTCTGTGCTCATTTCATGGGCAAAATATTTAACAACTCTTTAGCTGTTATCCCAGCCTTCTCCAGTAATCTCTATTTATCAAATACCACAGGTGGGTCTGCTGCAGGTGGTACCTAAAATACAATTTGAGAAACAATGATCTACATGCTGATAACCCCCAAATCTTTGTCTCTATCTTAGCTCTTGTCTGCGTACTAAACCCCCCAACCCAGCTCACACACTGAAATTCACCCCTTCTCTGCCAACACCTGTTTCTTGTTCTGGGTTCTGAACTCTATCCAGCACTGAATCCCTGGGTATCACCCTCAAAACCTCTGTCCTCCCCAAGCACCCCACATCCAACCCACGGCCAAGTCTTGTCAATATTCCCCTGGAGCATCTCTTGATCCCTCCTCTTCTCTCCTTCTCCATTGTCACTACCTGAGAGGCCACCTTCATATCTTGCTTGACATGTGTCTAGACATGCCCCATCCAGCAGCCAGCACTGCTGATTAGAATCACTCTTTGAGCAAAACACTCCATGGTTCAAGGATAGAATCTGCATCCCTCAGCTTGGCTTCCCAGAATGTTCAGGAGCTAATCCCCAGCTACTACCCTCTACTCCAGCCCAACCAAACTTCCTTCCGTCCTCTACCTTGCTTCACGCTCTTTCACCTGGGGCCTTTGCATGTGCTGGTTTCTCAACCTGGAACACTCTTCGGACTCTCTGCATGTAGGTTTCCTTCACTCACACTTCAGGTCTCAATTTAAATGCCACTCCTCCAGGAAGACTTCCCTGACCACACCCACTTCCCCTACCACTGCCACCAAACTAGGTTAGGTGTCCCTGCTATGTCTTCTCAGGGCACTGTGTGTTAGCCCTCTCAGAGCACTTGCTCAACTTATTGTTATTACTTATTCAATATTCTTTTTTCTCTGCTGAAAAGTCAGCTGCAACGAAGTGGGCATCTCTCTTATTTGCTCTAATATTAACATGACATGAGTCCCTTAACTGACGAACCTCCATGCTCCTGCTCCTTTGCTGAAAAGCCCACTTTCAGGAAAAAAAAAAAAAAGAAAGTCATATATTTTTTTAAATAGAATTCTTCCTCTGGGACTTTCGGTGTATTTCAAAATAGCACCATAAATCCAGACTAGGAAATTTGTCTAGAGTTTCTATTTCATTTCCAGTCCCTGCCCAGCTAAACTTTGGTGCAAGTTCCAAAGATAAGACTCCTTCACATACAAAATTAACCTGATAAAGGGAGCTCCTCACCTCCCTCTTCAAGCCCGTGAGACCATTTCCACCTGAAATTTTTCTACTCTACCTTCCTCATAGTCCCTGATAGTTGCCAGGTTCCTTCAGCAACACAGAATATGGTGGAATATGAGGAGGTAGGGAGGTAGGAAGAGGTACCAACTAGCCTTGATTGCTGACCAAGTGCCAGGCACTCTCAGTGTCATACTTAATCTCTCATAACAACTCTGTGAGGTAAACCCCATCTTCCTCCATTTACCAACATGGAAACTGTGGCACAGATAGGTAAAGTTACTACTGTGGTTACACTGCTGTAAGTGGCAGAACTGGCACATGAACTCAGATCCACCAACTTAAATTGGCCAAATTTTCAATTCCAGGCTGGTACGTTTCAAGGAGTAGAAATCCGGGAAGAGAAATCTAGCACAGAGCTGGAAGCTGTCTCCCAGCCTCAGAACCTTAGCAGAATCCTACAGAGGAGAAAAAGAAAAAAAAAAAAGCAGCAGGGCCAAAAAACTAGTTCTACTGGAAAGCACGCAGCATTGGAGAGAAATACCTGGAAACCAGGAGGTTCTCTCACTCCTTCCAAATGTTGCAGCCTAGTCGTGTCTCCTAGGCAGCCATCATATTGTCCAAGGCAGATCCTTGGTCTTCCATAAGCATCTTTCCATACCCTCTACCCACTTAGCTTCTTTGAGGTCAAGGACTCTACTGTTTTATGGGAAATGATCTTTTTAAAAAACCCTCCCTGATTGAGAACCAAGCCATTTTTCTGTAGGCAGGCAAAATAAGCTTGAAGTTCTATTTTGATGGTGGAATTTGCCAGTAGTTAAGCTACATCTTCTTTGTTTCTCTTCTGGTCATTGCACATTCTTTCTAGGATTTTCTCCCTTGGGAACTGGAAATGGAGCATGTTTGCAAAATCAGACAGTGGGGTGGTTCTACCAAAGACGGCTTTGTTCACTAGATTGCAAGTTATGAATGAGTGGGGGAAACTGAATTTGCTTACCATTAAAACCCCTCCGCATACTGGAATTCTAGAGGCTGAAATCTAGCACACATACAGAGCTGAGATGGAAAATCCAATGTGAGGTCAATGCTCCTAACTGATTCATCTTTTAGACTCAACCCACTTTTCCACTCTCTTGACAAACAGGTGAACTTACTGTAATGAAACTCTCCTCCCATCCCAGGCTGAAGAAATCACGTGGATTCTGGAATGGCCAAAAAAGAGTAGTGAGAAGTGAAAGTGGTTAATAAACAGTTGACATTTATTGAGCATTGAGTGTCAGACACTGTAAAAATACTCTTACATATGTGATTTAATCTAGTCTTAAATGCCCTGTAAGGTTGGTATCTTTAAACCTCATTTTATAGGTAAATCAAAGATCAGAGCAATTCACTGGCTTTCCTGGAGACGTGTAGCTCTTATGATTCTTCTTACTCTCACCTTCTCTCAGGTTTCTGTATCCACTCAGAAGGAAACTTGGGGGCTAGAAAGAAATCAGAGCCATGGAGTCTGTGGGAACACACCTGGAGAAAAGTCTAGGCTCTGGCATCTCAGATCTGGGAGGGATGAGGGAAGGGGAGGCCAAGCAGAAAGTAGAGGGACTGGACCTGGAGCCTTTTGAGAAGGGATTGGGAGAACAGTGGCATTTTGCACTTAGTATCTTCTCCAAGACTTTTTGAGCATCTGTTTTAGTTTCCAAGGTTATCTAGACAACAAGAAAACTCCTAAAGAAACAGGAGTGGTAAGGAGCGATTCTTGAACTGTTGAGTTACGTGTTCTCTGGTTAAAGGCAGAGACGAAGACTGAAGGGGGCTCCAGGAAAGCAGATGCAGCAGTGGCGTGGCTGCACTTGCCTGCCATGGGTTGAGGAGCAGGGGCTGTGTCTAATGCCTCCAACAGGAGCGAGTGAACTTTGAACAAGGGGAAAAAACAAAACTCTCAGTCTCACATTCCTTCCGTGTCCAACCAATATCCTAACATCTCAAAGTTCAGTGTAAAACAAATATCAAAACGAATTTCACGGCTAGCTGTAGAATAAAGATGATTATTCCCACTTTGTGGTGAAGGAATTTTAGGTATGATGAAAGTCAATAGGTTGCCCATTCTTTTCTCAACAAATATTAATTAAGCTCTTACTATATGCCCAAAAATGGATACAGTGGCAAACAAAACAGACATAAAGCTTACAGACTCATGAGTGAACAGACATTAAGTAAAAATTAAGGCTAGAAATAAATATAAAATTACAAATTATGATACAGTAAGGAGAGGGAAAGCATAGGCAGGTATGAGAAAGCATAACAGGTGTCATTTACACTGGTGAGTTAGGGAAGTCCTGCCTAAAGAGATGACGTTACACCGTGAGCCCAGAAGGAGCAGAGGGGCAAACGGGCAGCAGGAACAGCCTGTGTAAAGGTCCTGAGGCTGGAAAGAGAGCTGCCAATGTAGCAACAGGGGCAGGATAAAAGAGAAGGTGAGAAGGCAAGGCAGGGGGGCATATTACGTAGGCCCTTCTAAGCTATGGCAAGAACTTCAAACTTTGTTCTAAGTGCTAAGTGAAAAGATAAGCCACTGGAGGGTTTTAAACAGGGAAGAGATATGATCTGATTAACATTAAAAAAAAATTACCCCACTAATTGTGGAAAATGGATTGGATGACAATGAGATACTATTGCTGAAGTCCCTACAAAAGGCGATAAATAAAGCCCAGGGAAACAAAATTCTAGTCCTTGACTCAAACCAAAAAAGCCTTTTGTTTAAAAAAAAATTATTTATGATTTATAATCTAAAAAAAAGTCATTTTATTAAACAGAAACATATTTTTTCAAATTTCTTATCCACCAAAATGACCTAAAGTCCTAAGGCATTGCTTCAGGGCAATGCAACGTGTAGCTGGCTTCCCTAGTCACCCTTTTCTACTTTCCAGGTTTTCCAAGAACAGAGGTTGAGAAGAGCAATCATAATTGGGGAATAAATATATGGGTCATTTGCATCTGATTCTCCCACCCAGCCTGACCCTCATTACACAGCAGCAGCAACAAATGTCAGTGGCAGGAAGTATACAACAAGAAGAATTAACCACAATTTTTTTCAACCAACCTTAAACACACACTGTCACACACACATACAGTTGACTTGGAGTGGGGTGAGGGGAGGTAGCAGGCTTCTCACATTTTTAACCAATAGAATTTCATGTCGGTCATCAAAACAACAGGCTTGCAGTCAGTTGACCTTTCATGATGGAGACTTTTGTGAGGAGAAGGGAGAGGAAAGAGAGAGAAAACTTGGGCTTTGCATCATTTGTCATTCTAATGGTTGAACACTGAATCAGTCTTATGTTAGACACATTAATTTGATTAAGATACAATCCATGGGTCATTCAGGCATATAAAGTACTCTTGCTTAATTGCAAAATTAACAATGAAACAGGATAAATCATTACCAAACTAGAAGTTATTCTGGGACTCATGGATTCCCTCCCCCTACCCCACTCAATTCATTTTCTTCATCTAGAGTTGGTTTTGACACTTAGAAGGAAAAATCAGGGCAAAGGCAACAGCCCATGGGACACCAGCATTCAGCTCTCAAGGCGTTAGTTAAGGCAGCTTGCTCTCACTCAGACCAGGAACTGCTGGGAGACCTGTCTCACAAGAGGATCCAAGAGGCCCTCAGCCTCCAAAGTGTTCATAACCACCTCAGATGCACAGCATGAAGGAAGTTATTTATAGCCCCAAAAAATCCACTTAGAAATCTGAAGGCTGGGATCCTGGGTCCATTTTTATTATGTTACTCTTTGCCTGCCACCTCATTTCTTTTAAGGTGCAGGCTAATTTTCAGGCCCTGGGAAACTTTTTATCAAACATCTACTGTATTCCAGGCACTATGTTAAGTGATGAAAATACAAAAACAAAGACCCAATCTCAGATCTCAATAAGCTTGCTCTGTAGCTGGTCACTGGGTTCTGTCTCTGCTGTGACTCCATAAGAAACACCTGGCTACGGCTTAGAGCCCTCTGACGTGCTACAGCAGAGGCACGCAGAGCGCCATGGAGATACAGAGGAAGGAACGCATCAGAGAACGTGTGGAGAGTACGTAGGATTTGAGCTGGTCTTAAACTGAATTATGAGGTGTTGGTCATCCAGAGAGGGGAGGGGAGGTCATTCCCAGCAGAGGGAACAGAATGAATCAAGGAAAGCAAGCTTGGGTGCACATGTGGTATGTGGTCATTACTGTGGTGCAGTAAGCAACAGCCAGGTGTTTTTCCCATCTTAGGAGAAGGCATTAGTGGCCAAACATATACTCCAAATGTGGGAGAGTTAAGCACTTCGCCCATACAATACAGAGGAAAGAATTCTGGATTGGAGCTCAGGAGACCCAGTGTTCCTGTGTTCTAACATACTGTGCGACCTTAGGCTCGTTATTTCACCTGCCTGTGCCTCAGTTTGCTCATCTGAAAAACGGAAATAAAGACCCCACCTAC